ATCTGCGAAATAATTGGCGTAAGGAGCTTCCGTATACCGAACATCAAAGGACCTCGGGTTCGATGGTGCTCTCTGATGCCGTCGTCTTGTATGTTATTTAAAAAAAAGAAAAACTAGTCTCGTGCTTACGTGGAAAGAAATGAAAAAAAAACACAAGGTATATTTCAGGGATGATTGGTACAATTTTATGTATGTTGTTCGTTATTAAAATAATTGCAAAGATAAATCAACATATGTTTTAACAAATTATAATGAAAATGCACATTAATTTTTTTTACCATATTTTACTTAACGTGTTGAGTAGAGTGAGAAGGTAAACAGTCATTTTTTAACATTATCGTAATTTTCGTAAATTAGTCGATAAGATTTGTTGGAAACCACGTGATTCTACCGAATAATTAGAAAGTACAGGACTCGTTTATTATCTGATACAAAAGATACAGCATCGAGTAAATATTCATTTTTTGTGCGAAAAACGACAAAAAAAGAGGAGACTCCGAAGGATGAGTCCTGGTCCAATAGACCTTAGCACATACGCAAGACCCGCACATACACACGCGCGTATACATACTACATCGAGGAGGGTCGAGGCTTACGGGGGTAGATTAGATATAGCGGACGACAACGATGCTGACGACGAGATTGAGAGAACGTAAAAAATGCAATCGGCTCTTAGGGTAATGAAAACCGGCCGGCCGGCCTTTATATACACACGCGTGTGGGTGCGTAAGCCGTGCAGAGCTTCCCAGTTGACGGTTGAGCAAACGACACTCGAGAACTCGACGACATCTGTCGCGTTGTGCCTTATTTGCTCGTTGTTACTTTTTTTCCCCCTTTTTTTCGTTTTCTTCTTTTTTTTTTACCGTGCAAAGTTTCAAACTCAAGTAGGCATATTTTTACTCTCGACACTCATTCATGTAAAAGGTGGCAAGTAAGAAAACTAAATCTTATTCAGCCGAAGCTCAATGAAAAAGACAACCAGAATGGGATATCGGTGCATGTAAACGATCAGTTCGTCCTCCCTACGATTTGTACTGCGGTGGAAAAAAAAGAAAAAAAAAAAAATACTCGAGTGTATCCGACATTAGATTGAGTCGACACGCGAGCGCGCCACCATCGCTGTTGGGGAATGCGCGCGCCAGATAGAGATCTAAAAGCGACGTGTATAAGGTGCGCTCGTCCTCTTTTTGCAAAGGAGAAGAGTTGGAAGGTAGGTACATACGAGCCAATGGGGGAGGACTCCTCTCGAGCGTGGTTACATGTATATAGAGGAGAGCGGCGTGCTTCCCGGTGATTTATAGAGGTTTTTACATGCAGGGTGGACGAAATAATTCACGCTAATGCCCCTGCTAACTGCTTTCGCGTGTAGGTAGGTATACGTGTCATAGCCCGCGCTTATATATACACCTTTCTCTCTTTTTGTAATCAAAGACCAAATTACTTTTTCTTTTTTTTTTTCACTACCTTTACTATTTTTTTTTATCGAAAATCGTTTATTGTCTTTGGGAAAAATAATATCTTTTAGTTTTTGTACACGCTATGATTGATAGACGATACCAATGAGCAACAGGGACTCTAATATCAAGTTTTGGTTTTCGGTACTATTAATGTATGGTTGATTGAGCTGTAATATTTTTTAATTAAGACAAGTTAAGGACGGTGCCGTTAGCTCCAAATTGATAAATCATTGCGTTATTTAAAAAGTATTTAACTTAATCCCTGAGTCAAAAAAAAAAAAAAAAAAAAAAATGCAAAGTTAAAAATTACAAATTTTTTCGGTACTCGTGCATACAGAGGTTGTTTTTTTAATTTTTTTATTGTTTGTTAGAGGGAAAAGATAGGCGTAGCTCGACAGGGAAAAAATCGCGAAGCACTCGGTGCGCGAAAGAGATAAAACTCGAGAAAGTCGGAAGAATATAGAAGACAGAGGGAGGGAGGACGAAAAATGTGGGAGGGAGTGCAGCGTCGGGGGTTTATCTCGCTCATCCTCATTAAAAGCCTTTGTCCTCGAGTCTCTCTTTTTTTTCCCCTCCTCTTCCGCGTCTCTGTCGTTTTCCTTTCGCGGCGTGCAGCGTATGAATATATGTGTATACCTATACGGAAAACAGAGAAAAGTAGAGGGACGTCGCGAGAGACTCGCGCTCTATTAATTAAAAGATGGAGCGAGGCAAATGCCTCGGTCAATGATGCGGGAAGTGAGTGAGAGCTTTGCTTGCGGCTGATGCTGAGTTGCGTTAGTTTGTCGGGCTGAACTTCTGTCTTCTCCCTTTCGTGACTGCTCTCGGCGTGGAATATGCCTTTTTTTTTCAGGTCACAGGTTTTTTTTTTTTTTTTTTATCACCTTTGATGCGTAATGTGAAGGTGACGGGGACTCAGCGCTTGCAATTACGGCTGACGTATCGACGGAGGTTGACTTTGCTTCGGTTATAACGAGGCGTCAAATGTTTCGAAGGAAAAGCTCGTTTTTTGAACAATTTTTTTTTTTTTTTTTTTCGTCAATTATGATATGCGAAAGATCATGCGCTTACATTTACGTATAGTCCTCAACGCCGTAGAAAATTCCTGCTGTGCAGGATGTAAATGTAAACTAAAGAAAAAATATTTTTAAATCTTAATGTATGTTGCCCAAATAAAATTAAATTAAATGGACTCAACTTTTTAGCTTTTCATATGTACGTTTCGTCATGGTTTTTGATTAAAAAAAAAAAAAAAAAAAAAAAAAAAAAAAAAAAAAAAAAAAAAAAAAGTAATAATAATAATACAGCAGCCTCAATCAACTTGTCAAATATCGTTTTACCACCATCAAACGCAAAAAAAATGAAAATCTCCATCACGAATTTGTTTTTTTAAATTTTATGTACACGCTCAACCGACGTTGGGGAAAAAAAAGAACTTTGTCGGATGAGCGACGAAAAAAGACGAGAGATCTGCGTCACGTCTCCACCACCCTCTCGTTTGTATACGCTCTTCCCTTCTTTTTTTTTCTCCAAACCACCCCCAAGAGAGGGAGAGAGAGAGAGAGAGAGACAGTAGGAAGAAGGAGGATCGTGGGTGGTTGAGGTTAGGTGTTTTCCGGAGGAAGGGGCGCCCGCGCCCGCGCACTACTCGCGAGAGGGTGGTTGGCTAAAACAAAGCCCGGCTCGCGGGTTGGTCGATAGTCCTCGGCCGCCAATCAGCCGCGCCGAGGCGAACGCGACGCAGACACCGACCTCTACATATATCCTCCCTCTCTGGCCCTTGGACGTTATGTACACCTATATAAATATATCGCTATCCATGTACTATTATTACTGCGTGGCCTTGCAAGTTTCCTCCTCTCTTTTTTCCCCCTCTTTCTCGGCTACCTCGTACTTATTCTCTTTGTCGGTGATCAAGATTCTTCTTTGGCTTTTCTCGCTCACTACTATGGAAAAAACTAACATACATTATTATTATATTGTACGTGCATGAAAACATTTAATATACATATACATCAAAAAGTCGAGCGGAAGAGTCCAAAGCGTGCCACTGAACTTGAATTTGCGTTTAAACAAAAAAAAGCTCGCGTGCAAGCTCCAGCGCACACTTTGTATAATCGGGCAACTTCAAACGATCCCGCGCACCCGCGTGCATTGGACTCGCGCAGAATCAACAGCACGTATTAGTATACACACAAAGCAACGGCGAAAGGGAAAAAAGAAGCGCTCCTCGCGCGTCTGTAGGTGTACATGTACAAACTCATACGGGAGCCTTCCTTCGTTCTCCATTGTATTTCAGGGACTGTCAGCGACGCTAACCCTCCGAGAGCCGCGTCTCCAGGGTGACGTCCACCTACGTACACTCTGCCCTCTCGAGGAGGGGGGGGGTAGGGGGACACCGAGCAACCAGAGATAAAATGGACTCTGCTCCAATTTTTTTTTTTTTCTCTCTCTCCCCCATCTCACTCGTATCTTTTTTTTCAGATTACGCGCAGATGCGCCCCTCTCTGCCGTGTACGGCCTCGGCATCTGTTGTACGGATGATGATGATGATGATGATGGACCTCTCGACGTTTGGCCGATTGTGCTGATAATCGCTCCCCGCGCGCGTATCAATTTTTTAGGGGCGAGCAATTATTCGCAATTACTCGCTCCTCCCCTCTGTATGTTACGTATTTTCTCGAGCCCAGAAGGCTTGATTGATTGCTCGCAACTGTACATACGTATATACTTTCATTGCGAGTCAAGCCTCGTTACGTATACAGCTTAATATCTTGATGCCGGGATATGGCGGTAACGATAAAACCTGTGTCGTTATAGTATGATCCGGATGATTTAGATGATGAAAAAAAGTAAATTCGCCCCGAGGTAGATATGGTTCAGCTCGAAAGAAAATGTCTTCGCTTTAATTAGTGCCGCGACTCGCTCGGAGACGGCAGCGGAGGATCGAGTTGTGCAACTCCACTCTCTCTCTCTCTCTCTACGCGACGTTTGCTCTTTCCCTAAACCGTTTCTAATTGGAAGAGGTAGTTGGCGATGGTACGTGTATATATACGCGAGAGCTGAAAGTTTGTTAATTAAGTTGTGCACTTGGCGCTCCTCCCTTTTTCTCGTTCCTCTGGGTATACGCTCTGGCGCGTTCGACTGTCTGCCGTTTCGCCGATGGAAAGCTCCGATTGGCTCGGAAGGATGTTTTGGGCGAGTGGTACTGCTCGAGTGGAGTTGAATGCTTCGGGACGTTGCGTTGCGAGATCGAGGAGTCTTATTAGTTGATTTGCAAGTACAGAAAGAAAACTTTTTTACGGATGAATGAATTTATAATTTTTAAAAACAATCGAGATGAAGATTTCTTTGATTACTTTAATATGTTTTCAATGAAAAGAAACTCATATATTTGCAGTTGCTTATGTAAATGAAAAAAATAAAAGGAAATGAATCTTCGTAAGTTATCAAATAAAAAAAATATTGCGAGATTTTTGGCTAGCATAGCTCACACACGATTGAGTACGTATGAGACTTGAAGTTGAAAACTGTGTTGTTTGGTTCTATGCAATAACTTAATTTTTTTTTGTGAAATCACTGAAATAAAAAATACAATATCAAGGATATGGATAGAACAGGTTTTGATAATGAAAAAGTTGAATATTTCGAAGTATGGATAAAGAACGTTTATTTGATTTTTTTTTGTTTTTTTCGATTTAGCTTTAATAAATTATTAATTACAAGATGTATAGATGGTTAATTACAGATTTTATTTATAATAATTCATTGTATTTACAATTAAAAAGAGATATTTTTTTTAATTTTATTTTTATTTTTTTTTCAAGTGCCCTAATAAAGTTTTATCTCTTAACGACGCTTGCTTAGTCAACACTTACATTATAATACATTTCTTAAAGTGAGAACTACATACAAACTTATTAAAACGAGCTTAATTATATTTGTTTCCTTTTTATTCTTTTTTTTTATTTATTTTTTTTTTTATAAGCGGTTCTGGTGGCTCATGGAACAGTGTCGAGTTTTCTCTTTAGGCCGCAGTTGTCTGGCTCTGTAATCAAATTATAATGATTTCATTAGTAATTTTAGATAGTATTTATTATTTATGTATATTTACGTATTAAAACTATTTTTTTTTTCACCAAATACACAAAAGTACATAAATTTATTTGTAAAAAATACTTTACGCTTTTACATGTGAGGCATGACTGATACATTCGAATACCTAAACCTTTTTTCGTTTTCGAAATTTTCGTTACAGAAAAAAATTTATTGATTGTCACTTACAAGTTTTACAATTTATACATTTTTTTTACTATTTTTTTATCATTTTTTTTTTTTTTTTTTTTTTTGTTACGTTAAAACAAATAATTTTAACGTCAAGTCAAAGTTACGTACCAAATTCGAGCTTAAGCTTGATTAATTTTTAAACTTTTATATAGACAATTTCTGACTTTTTTGCTGTGGCAAATATACTTATTAAGTACTCCTATGGAGCAGGCATGTCTTAAAAAATCACGAATAGAAAAAAAGCGTGCAAAAAGCAGAAAAGTGTGCAGGTCGAAATGCATGAAGTATAAAAGTAACATGCAGTAATCCAACGATTAGGTCGTTACGTTGCAGCATAACGCGTACATATACAAAAAGCCCCCCGAGGGAGAGCGAGTGCTCGCGCGTCTTCCGATGCCTGTGTTCTTGCGCGTCAATCCGTGCAGTAACAACAATTACACCCGTCCCCTGGGTAACGCAAAGGTGAAAAAAAGCCATCTCCCCATCCGAGTAATTATCAGCCAACTTAATCTCGGAAAAATCAGAAATCAGAGCAGGTTGAGAGCGAGTCTCTTGAGATTTCAAAAAGCTCTTTTTGGTGAGATGGTGCGTGACGCGAACGCCTTTTTATAATGTACGTATTGCGCATCGCATGGAATTAATTATTATTGGCTCAGTGGGTAATTACAGATTTCTTTTGTTCGAGCTAATGCGTTTCCCTTCTTTTCATACATTGTATCCACGAGACTTTTTCACTTCAATAGTCAGTCCCTTAAGGCCATGTACCTACGATTATAATAAAAATAATGAGCGATTGTAATGAGTAGCGTACCTACATACTTTCCGATAAGTTCTCATGGGCCTACTGTACGTACTGGTTGCTGTTGATACCTTTTAAAAATTTTTTAAAATAATATTTATTCTTTTTTTTCTGTGTGAATTATTAAAACAATGGTTAAGAAATATCAAGAGGCTTGAGATACCTATGGGTAATGGTTTCCTAATTTTTTCACAACCTATATTCATAGTAAAGACTAGAAAAAAAAATGATAATGATAGTAATTGTGATAATAATTACACAGTAATTGTTTCCGTTGTTGTAACACAGTCTAGGTAGTAAGGAGAGAGAGATAGAGAGCGCATCGGGTTCAATCAGCTGGTTCCGATCCCTCCGTCAACTCTTTTCACTTGTTCTCTCTCTCTCTCCCTCCCTTCCCGTTTATTCAACGCGTGGTGGGATTTTTCACTTCGAAATGCACAACTCGGTAACAGCAGATGATCAACGCGCGGTAATTGGCCCTTTTCTTCTCGTAGAAATGACAGGAGGGGTGGGGGAGCGAAGGCGCATTTTGGTAAGGGTCAACGGTGGCCCTCAGTAGTATAGTTATTGATCTCGTCGCGTTAGCTTCGTGATTGGTTAGCTCGTACATTATCCCGCACCCAAGGACATCTTCTCTAGCTTTCTTGATTTTTCATCTTTTCTCGTGGCCGAGCTTCTGCAGCCACGAATTTTACGTTTTCCATCGTCTTGATCTCGACGCCGATAGAGCGTCGCATCCTAGTGACTACGGTGTCCGCCCGCCTGCTCTCGCTGGCCGAGATCACCTTCACGCGCGCGGACTGCAGCCGCACGCGCTGACCTCAGGATTATCAGCATCCCGAGACGTCTTCTCTACACACACTCACTCACATTCACACATAATAGCGTTCCCCTTTTTTTTATCATTGCCTCGTTAGTGTAATATTTCCTTTAAGTGTCAATATCTTCCTTGTTCGTTGTCGCTGTTTGTTATAATTCAATAAAACGGGTTTTTTTATGCCATACACGGCTTTTTCCCTTAAATGAGTGTTTTCTTGTGTTGATCCCCTGTTACCCAGTGTTCCCTTCAAAAAATTCAATTACTTGATTTCTCTCACGTGGAGAGCATTCAAGACAGGTCGCCGCCGACCGCTTAAACAGTAATTTTCATAAAAATCTTACCTCGGAGCATTTTTGATTAAGGACTAATTCACTGCTGTGCAGGGCAATCTAATTGAAGAAGATCATGAGCTCATTGAAAATCGTACTGCCGCGAAAGAATTACTCCGCACAAAACAATTAAAATTTTTCATCATCGAAATGCTTAAACCTCGTTAAGTACCTAAAATTGTTATGATACGTGCTAAATTGAAAAACAAAAGGATCCCATTAAAAGCTATACCAATTGGAATCGAGGAATGTCCTCCTTTCTCGCAAAAGTAAACCCCTTACTTCCACTAACAAAGCCACGTTACGTCGATCCAAAATCCAGTGTCCGCACAGAGACAAAGTAACATCCTTAATTCTTTCCGCGTTCCTCGACAAATCCGCTTTTCAAACGTCCTGCCCGCCATTCGTCCCGTTTTACAAAAGCACCCGACAAATGAATTTTTATTACCGTCAGAGGCCATTCGTGCTTATCGAGCCATCGCCGCCGGTCGAGAAGAGGGAGTCGTACATACATACATATATATACACATAGTGTGTACGAGGAAGGGCGCGTAACACCCCCAACCCCCGCGCGTCCGATTGGCACAATAGCCTTCGGCTCCAGGTTATATCTTTCTCTCGAGTCCTGCGGTAATTATTTTCGCGGGAGCGAGAACTCCTGGCTCTGACAGCCCCGACCACGACGGCGCGGCTCGCGGAGTTCCACTCGCCGTATATACCTTCTCGCCTCCCTGACGGAGACACGGGGACGACGCGCTCAGAGAGAGCGCCAGTGAGCTGAGTATATATACCACCATGTAATACAAAGATCCGGATGCCGGCCACTGCCATGGTTACCGATATTCGTACAGGTGTACCATTCCAAGTTTCGTCGGGACACCTACGTCTCTGAAAATCAAGTCCTGATTGAAGTTTATCATGCACGTAGGGACATCATTTTTCCACCCCCGAGAAATCGAAGGAATTTTCTTGAAACCCAACAGACCCAACAGCTAATGCGCGCGCTCTTATTTCTGCCCTTGGTATCGTCTACACTCTCCGATCCACTCGTCATACTCCATAGATTGTAAAATGATTCTCCGGGAGGGACGAAGCTTGTACCGCGTGTCAGCGAGCCAGACGCCCACGAAAAAGAGAGCACGACGATGTATATACGTAGCAGGGAAGAGACAAAGATCCGTGTCTCCGGCAGCGGAGTTTTATCCTATAAAGTGACAAGCCGTCGAGCGCGCTTGTATATATGTACAACATTGGGGCGCTTTCCCTCTCCTCGATGCCCCTCCACCCTTTTTTTGTTTGTATGTACGCGCGGGAAAAGCTCATTGTCGTCTTTACGGATACTATAGCTTCGATCGCTGGTATGATCGGTACTGGTGCAGGTATCGCGCGTTGAGTAATCGCACCGATGTGTCTCCCTCTCTCGTCGCGCCGTCCTAAATTGACTCGTGTCCCTCGAAATCGTGGCGATGGTAATGAAAACGTTTACGTCTCGAGAAATCCCCAGCCCCGAACGAGCAAATACACCCATCAATTACTCGCATCACGAATGAAAAATAAGTGGGAGTTCCTCCCCTTCCCGCTGGAGCATTCACAATCAACTCTAGCTCGCGTGTAATTAATTCACCCAAATACCGCGGAGAGATCTAAATGATGTGAAGGAAAAAAAAAAAAAAGAAAGAGCATGCGCTATTAGTAACTGTCTCCGCGACTTTCAAGGATCCTCTTTTTACTCGGCCCAAGAGAGAGCAGAGCCGACGCAGCTGATTCGGTGCTAATGTAATTTGGCCGGTCCATTAGCCAGGTGAGACGGACCGATTCTTCGAACGAATCCTTTTTGCCTTTTACGATCCGGAAAAAAAAAAAAAAAAAAAATAGGAGGAGGAGACGGGCGTCACTTACACGCCGGATTTAGGAGATCGGTAGCCCGCCGCTCCTCCCTATCCTTGCACTCGCCTGCGTGGCCCTGTTATTTGGCTCATTATCGGGGATTTCGAGGGCTTCTGCGGCGGAATTGAAAATAACTGATGGTCATGTACGCTCGAGAGATCTGCTTCCCGAAATATCATCACCTGACCCGTCTTTGGGCGAAGCCTCGCGATTCACGCTAATCGTAGACATAACATTAACAAGTACAGTCCGCAACAGAGTTACACTCTCCCGAGTCGCATCGCATGGGTGCGTTTGCTGACGAATATTATTTTTCGGTGCGAGGAATGCCGGTAGTTGGGTGTACTACGTATACCGCTTTGAGGGAACAAGCCCCTGATTTTTTTTACCCCTCGCGAAGCCGAAGCGTTTAGTTCGGGGAATTTACATACATAGTTATTTGCATACGTTGATCCTTGTATGCCTACTTTTAAATGGCAGGTGTTGGCTGAACCCAACTTTATTTTCTCTCGAAAACGCGACGGGTTGGTATTATTTTTCGGGCACCGCGTGATGATAATACATCCGAACCATACATAAACACAGACAGCTTTCATATAAATGGGTAATAAATGTGGTGGACGTGGATTGTCAAGCCGCAGACAAAGAGATAACGTTTCAAACAAAGTTATGGAGGCACGGCGTCCTAGTGAGAGAGTATATGTCGATCGAGGCATTCTCGCTCGCACCTATTTTTTTTGAGATAATCATTATTGTTATTATGGTATAGATACACGGTGTGCACACGTAACATATATATATTTGAGAGTCGAATAAGTGGATGACGAGGCTCGAAGGGGATTTAAAGGCCTCCGCTCGTATACCTTACCCGCATATGTGCGCGCGTGTTAATTACACGAAAATAACACTCCGGCGATCGGGAGGTGAAAACTTTTTTTTTTTTTTTTCTTTCTTCCCGACCAAGTGCATCTTTGATTTTTTCCAACGTGTACATATTTATACTGCAGCTCGTAATTAACGTCATTTACTGCAGCTGATGCTCACCTCGTTTAAACGGTTTTTTTTTCTTTTTTTTTTTTTTTCAATTCATCGGAGCTGATAGCAATAAGGAATAATGCATCGATCAAAGTACTGCGCACACGTGGATCAATGAACTATTTTTTTTCTATATTTCATGAAAAAAAAAAAATGAAAACCATATTTCACCACCCAAGCATCATACCGTAGTTTGGAAGAAGCGCATCGAATGTATATATATGGCTCGTTGCAACCCTTGGGCTGTGCGGTAAGTAGCGGGCGTTCGAGCGAATCCAAGAGAAGAAGGCGGCAGGGGGCATAAGCTCGAGAGAGGAGGCAAAGGGAGGGGAAAGGAGGAGCTGAAGAAGACGGGGCGAGAAAGGGCTGGCCGAGAGGAGGATGGAGCTTGGGAAGCGCCGAGTCACGACGCGTAACGAGCTTGCCACGAGGGAGAGGGAGGGGGAGACGGGAGTTTATAGATTGATACGGCCGAGGGATTATTAAAAAGAGAATGAGAGAAAAATCGAGGGAAAGAGAGACGAGGATGATGCCTGTGATGGGTATACGTATCGGGGAAGAGCCGGCGAGGATTTCACGGGAGAGGCTCCGTGGGTTTGTTTTGCAAACCGTCGAGGTTGAAATTATGGTGGGATTTTTAAAAAAATCGTACTTTATCTATGTAAATTATTTTTGGTGAGAATCCATGCAACATGATTTATTACAGTATGGGCAAACTAAAACCGTGCACTCGCTGGTAATCCGTACAGGGGCAGCGATGGCCCATCGTCTCACGCAACCGTGAAATCTCAGCTGATTGCCCTAGCGAATAGAGACCAGCCCTCCTGATGCATCAAAAAACAAAAACTCGACAAAAACAAGCCAGTGACTTGGTGAAAAAGCTTGTTTTTGCGTACCACCGGATTCGCAATACATCCTTTGAAAAAAAAAAAAAAAATGATAAAGAAAGCAAATAAATAAAAGATATCGGCCCCGCCTTTGCGTCGCACCCAGCTTATTACCCGAAATAACCCATTAGTCGTGCGTACACAGCAAAATTAACTCGAGGCGCGTCATCTCTGATGGGTTAATCTTCCCATGTTGAGCGCGGCACGAGGCTATGGGCCGCAAAAACTAGAGTTGCTGTATCGGTTGTTCTGGTATATCTTTTGTTTTGGCGAAAAAAAAAAAAGGTTAACTAGCAGATTGTTTTTCGTGAATCAGCTGTTATTTATACAAACGAAGCGAGGAAAATTGAGGGTAGTACAGAGGGAGAAGTGCGATCCGATATCTTCTCAACACTTGATTGCCCGAGTCTTTGTTGTTCTTTTTTCCACAAGTACGTAAAATTAACTCATCCTTCTTACTCTCGTATATTATACGCTGTATACAAAAGTAGTTTCGTTTATCGAACTTTTACTCGTCACCTTACAATTTTCACAATCATCTATCTACACCTTTTGCGAAATCTGCATGGATTAAAAAATAAAGAGATTCGTGTTTACTCGCAATGGATCTTTCCCCTATATGTATATTGTTACGGTTCTCATTGTCGACGAACAACACATATACGATTGTACAGTCGTCAAGGCTTGCAGAAATTAGTGTCCAGTGGATTCGTAAAATTCCTCAGTCCAGAAGAAAACGAAGAACCAGCCCGACTGTAAACTCCGACCAGAAGACGATTACCGAGCCAAGAAGAAAGACGAGTAGAGCACGACATCGAAAATCGAGTGATACACCCCCGTATAGGTATATGTATGTAGTGCAAACCCACACATGCACAATCTCTGCACACGTTATATATAGACAAATAAGGAGAAGGGGGAGGAGGGGAGCAATCACCCGCGATTTCATAGCTTGTCGTGCGCAGCGCGAGATATACAGGGGGGGGGGAGGGGAGGGAAGAAAGGATGCGAGAGCACATATATTCTCTCGTGAGCCCTCCGTTTCAAGGTTGTGTGTGCGAGCCCAGAATCACCGATCGATCGGTATACACAGCTATCCGGAGCTTTCTCTCGCTCACGCGCTCGATGACCGGGCGCATTCCGCCGACACCACTCCCCCTCCTTCCCCCCATCACCCCGTGCTATATGCGCGATCCTCCTCTCAATGTGGCCGTCCTCTCTCTCTCTCTCGAGAGAGAGAGGTTATTATTATCATCCTTCAAGACCTGCCGAAATACCTTGGATTTCGCGTGAAAGTTCATCCCCGTCGGTTTTATTTTGGTACAAGGTATTTTTCTCCCTCTACCTTCGAGCGCAATACGCCTAGGGCCAGTTTAACGCTCGGCGGAAAGGTCGTAACGAATGACCTTTCCTCTGATGGTGTGACAGTAGCATCAGCTCTCGGCTAACAAAACCAGGGCAAAACATTAGATGGGCCTCCTACGCCTCTTCTTCCGCTCTCCGCCGCAATTATAATCCGCGACGAGAAGGACTCGGTGGGATGATCTTTCGATCCTACACGCCCCTCGTCGGGGATATTTTACGGATCTCAAGCGAAGTGGCATTACATTCCACGGGCTGGACAACTACCCAGTTTTGTATAGTGAAAAAAAAAAATGGTGTTGATAGCGCGTGCGTTCGATAAGATGGTTCAGGTGATGAGTGTACACAGCATGCAAGGGACGGGGTTGTACAACGACTGCATGCAACTGAGGAAAAACTAGTGAACAAAAAAAAGGCACTCATAGTTACCGTGACGCTCGAATCGTCCAAGGAGCGCGAAGAGCCGGCGTCTTCGATGAAATCCGGATTTTTCATTGTGAACGGCGCTCACGTGGGCCAGGACTCCTGCACGCGCACGTTGCTCGTCGAGTTCCAGTCCCTGGAAGAAAAAACAAACAAAACAAAACACTTTTTAAACACACCGTGTATACGTACAAGTGACAAACGCTGTTTTTCTTTCTTCCTACTCCTCTGTTACTCCTATTTATGCATTCATCCCCTCAGTCTCCTCAACACCCCTATTGTTATTGTAATGTCCACCCACGCGAGTAAAAGCCTATTCCCCCCCCCCCCGCGTAATGGTATTTTTACGTGCAAGTGTATCCTTCGAGTGCACCGAATGAATTGTTATTCTTAAAAAAAAAAGTTAGTGTAAAATAAACGGTATAGATTGAGTCATCCCGTACAGCAAAAAAAAAGGTTTCCCAGCCAAAGTCCGATTGGATTTCGGAATGGGAGTCGCAGTTTTTTGTTCTCTCCGTATAAATCGCTGCGGTGCAATAAATAAACGTCAGTCGCAGAAACATAAGCTCGCGGGAGAAAAGAAGAAGAAGAGACGACAGTCGATCATCCTCGGGAGCGCTAACAGCTCGAGAAAGAAGGAGAAGACGACGAGAGAGAGGGTACACAGTGTCCGAATATCATTCGTGATGTAAACGCGATTCCTCGATTTTTCAACATCACTCGACACCGCGAGACTCTCTCTCTCTCTCTCGGTTATTTTCTACTCTTGGCTCTGTTAAGCTCTAAACTCCGCTTTATTAATGAGTGGTAATTAATTAGACGCGAGACCTGGGAGTCACGGAATTCGAGCGAGGCGAAGGAATTTCTCGAGGCTAAGGTTTTTTTTCCATTGATTCGTCCTTACGTACCTGCTCGTATTATACCAATTTAATGATTTTTACGCGCACAACGTCTACATATACCACCTCGTAATGAAAGGTGTTGGTCCTAATCTCGTTCTAATATGCTCCTTTTTCATTGGTTTTCCTCATTTCCTGTTCAAGTACTGGACCACAAGGTGACCTACAGTGTAGAGAGACTTAACTAAATGCCCTATGTAGTGCAGGAAAACCTCTTCCTCTAGGAAAAAAAAAAAAAAAAATCTCTATACTAGGTTCAGCTACAAAGCTAGGAAATTAGTTCTTACGTAATACCGTGACGCTTTAATTAGCCAATTGAGCCGCTCCTTGTGTTTCTCATGGCTAATGTTGATTCACGTGAAACTAAATACATGCACCGCGAATGTATTACATAACAATCGGAAGGGAGTCGATTTTCGAAACAAAATCAATCGAGGTGGTGTAGTGGTATAAATATTCGATTGGGAGTATTACAACGAAAATCAAAGTCAAGAGCCACTCCGAGCAACATCGATGGTAGATAGAGTCGATGGAGAAAAAATTCGCAACTTCACCCAGCGCCGAAGCTAAGAAGGTGTAAAGCGCGCATGAGACCGCCCAAGCCCCTCGGCCGATCCCCGCGTATAGGCTCCTTGTAATCTCCGGATTAAGAGGCTCCGAACAGAAAGAAAAAAAAAAAAAAAAAACTATTCGAAAGAAAGGAAGCAGAATACGCGTCGTGATGATTAAGCCAAGGAAGACTAAAAAAATATCAAGCTCTAACAAAATGCTTTGAAAATATCATTAAAAACCTCCTTATTAAAAAAAAAAAAAAAAAAAAAAAAAAGAAGAAGAAGAGAACGAACACCTTCTCATCCAGATCTTAAAGAGCCGCTCGTACACGGCTTGACGCGCGTGACTCACGAGGGTACGAGAGGACTGATGTTATACGTGGCGGCGCATCGCATAGAGACATCATATAATAAAGTTCCCTCCGACTCGGCCGCCGCGCACAATGGGAGCACACGAATTCCTCGCGTCCACGCGACCTCACGCGCGTGATCCACTCGCTGGACCGCGGATGGAGATCCTCCTCTACGAGGCTCTTCCGCTTATTTGTTGCTGTACGCATCGGGACGTGGGATAGGTATAGAGCTTTGGCACGTGAGATTTTCGTTTGGCTCGTCCCAATCAATTAGACCAAGCTTTTTTCGTTTATTAGCCATTACACACGACGTGCCGATGAAGGAAAGCTCCCGACAAAAGAGCTTTTAAGCTTCTGTAACTTTTGTCGCTCCATATTGAACGAAATCGCTGAGCTGACCGATCAAACAAACCCAACAAAAAGGCCTTACCTTCTGCCGAAAAGTTTCAAGAGCAGCGATAGCCCAACACCCACCAACACATCGGTATCAATCTACTACATGAGGATTTTACAAGCGAAGACAACACCGGTTGTACACTCACTCAGTGGAACTCTGATCTGTCCCGGACCCTATTTCGGAACTATGGCGTGAAGTACTGTTCAATAATAGGGTCCGGGACAGATCAGAGTTCCACTGAGTATACTTCCTTATGTATACCTACCAAGTTAATAACGCCGGGTGGCTTTGAGGTTTCCCACACGCGCACGCTCTCGCGATGCGCGTCTCCTGTCTATCTCGAGCATCTCGACGACGAGGCGGGTCTAGTTCACATTGTCCCCGCGCATAAAATTAACTAGCGCATCACGCGCCTCGCGCAATTGTTACTATACCGTGTGTGACATCTCAACATCCCCCATCGAGATGACAGCGAGTGTATATGTTCAAACGTGCGTGGGTAAATTGATCAAACGCAGACAGCGATGGTGTATCTTCTTTTTATTGAACCATCATTCACGCCCAAGGCAGAAAACAATAGTTACACGCTTTGCCTGATGGGCCTCGTAAACAAAAGTTTCCACGGTACAGGAAGAGCAAGAGTTTAAGAACTATAACATTTCTGCACGCATATATATATACAGGCAAAGGAAAAGCGAAGTATATCGAGAGCAAAAAAAAACAGGAAAAGCTCGGACGCAGCACGCGCGTAGTCAGACAGAGAGAGGGTGGGGGGGGGGAGTAGTCATAGACGTCGAAGGAGTATAGAAAGTAGCAAACCGAAGGCGGGAATGAGGGAGGACAAGGGTGAAAGTCTCATCGAAGACTGCCGAGAGGGCAGGGTATATATAGGGGCGTCGCGACGTTATTACACAGTTCATTAGGAAAGCTCGCCCGAGGCTGCTGGTGCAGCGTAGTCGCGCCAGAAAACAGCGGCGAAGAGGCAGGCAGAGTTGCATCAGAGGCGGATATGCGCTTTTTTCTCGCTCTTATACCTATACATATATACGATACGCTCCTCTCTCTCTCTCTCTCTCTCTTTCCATCTGTCTCGCTCTTTCATTAGTTCTCATTTTTTTTTTTTACCTTCTGTTTTACCATCCCTTATAACCTACCTCCTCATCGTGATGCTGCCGAGCCATTTCTCTCTCCCTCTCGCACGCTTTCTCTCTCTATAATTATACTCTCAGCAATAACCCTGCCAGTTTCGTTTCGAGTTTTTTCCCCTAAAAATCAAAGGGAACTACAAGAGAATAACTGCTGACAAATGAGAACTTTAATTTATTTGTTTGTTTCTTCGACCCCACGTATACGCAAGTACCATCGTAAACTTATAATTTTTACCATTTATAATACGCGTGGAATGATCTGTGCTATATCACCAGCACAGGATTTTAACTTGACTATAATTATCATACGCCGTGATTTGCGATTTAGGTATACTTTGTGTTGAGAAAACAAAAAGTACTTGGTAAAAAACTTTATTCTCCCGTCTTGCTTTCCCTCCCTCGACCTCGTCAGCCATTTATATAGTCCACGCATAAGCTCGCGATTGGCAGTTGTGGCTGTGCATTTCTGGTAAGTTATGTAATCAACGCTCCATATCTCGCGTATACATGTGTAAGAGAGAGACGAAGAAGTACACTGCAGCGACAATTAAAATTCATCTTAAGAAGAATGGCACAGCGCTCTTATGTCTGGTATATATATGTACATGTACATACAGAGCAAGAGGAAAAGGAGGAGGAGGATGATAAAGCCCCTCGTCTGCGCATCAGCCAACCAGACCGACCGACCAATCGGAGGCGTCTCCGCTGCTGCTACTACTCCTATATATATACTACACTTGGCGTTGACTATATTAAACCCATGTATTGTCCTAGACCGAACTATTTTCTGCATATACCTACAAGAGACATAAGTAGTGCGTATTATAGGCCGATAATCCTAATCTATAGTTTCAGACCCAAAATTTTGCTCTTTTTCGAATAAGTATTTATATATATATATATCTCTGTACAGGGGATGAAAGAAATTTCTCGGCAGCGGAACCTCTACTCTATACTTGGGATAAAAAAAAAAGTTACGTGAGATGATAAAAAAGTAACATAGCTATCGATCTGAGGGAGAAAAGGGCGGAGGGGAAAAAAAAAAAAAAAAAGGACAAGGGAGGCGAGAGGAAAAGATAGCGAAGCCCGTGGAAACTAATGAATCCCGCCGAATGAAAAACGAGCCTGCAAATGAGCGGTTATCCGGTTTTCGCTAATTAGCAAAGACCTACCGCGTGTATATATATGTATATTGTAGGTGCTCTTCCTTCCTCGCTGTACGACTGCAGAGGGAGAAAGATACCTACCTACACGTATACATGTACATACAGCCACGTATACTATATTTCTACGCTTATAAATCCGCTCAACTCGTGAATTTCTCGCTCTTCGCGCCTCTTCAACGAGAAATATATATATGTAACATATTGCACAAATGTGTATAGTTATACGTATAGGCTCTCGCTTCGTCTTTCGAATTCAGGGTGAGGTAAGAGAGGCGAGAGGTGAGGATGAAATGGAGGTTCCAAGTTGCATGTTCCATCTGTACGTGTACGTAAATCTGCCTTCGGGATGACTGCCAAGAGGAGAACGATATTTTAATTTGCCTCCACTTGTGATTTTAATGCCGTCGAAGTGACGTAAAAACGCCTCTATACTCTCTTTACCGTGACTTATTAGCTGTGCAGCTTGTTCTATTTATTATAAATTATCCATTGTACAGATACATTATATTTATCGTTGGCCAATCGTAACGACAAAGTGACGAAAAAGATTAAAATACAGCACTTGTTTCTCCCAAATGAATCCGAAATTTGATGGGAGTTAAAACACGTAAAATTGTGGCAG